GGTTGTCTTAGGGATTCTTTGATTGGGCTCTTTACTAATGGCTCTTTGGCAGTTTCTTGATTGGGGTATTGCTTACTTGATTGCTGATCTGAAGTTGACCTTGGAGCTAATCTATGCTGACCTGAGTGCTGATTACTGGTGGAGAGATGCTGGAGTCTTTTTCTCTTTGGGGCTGGATGATTGTCTCTTTTGCATAGTCTATAGATGTTGTTAATGTATATGTGCCTATTGATGGCTGATTTGTCAGAGTGCCAGGCTTCTAGAAACAGATAAACCTCCAGGTGGCATCAACGACTCTATAAAAGAATGCAAATGACCAGATGTCTGCAAGGAGTATAAATCCTTCCATTCCCTACCATCCAATCAGAGCTGAAGAAGCTTCTTGGATGAGAAGTGAAACGTCTTCAAAGCAAAACAAGAAAGTCCAGTTGCCTCGTGAAAAGGCATCTTTGAGATACCTATGGATCGTTGAAGTTGAAGAGATTTAGCACAGCCTTAGAACTAGGCTGAAATAGGAGGTGAAGGAGATCTCTTTTGGTTGGGTGGCTGTTGTGGGAGTGCTAGATTCATAATCCTGAAACTGGCAGACTGAGTTCTCCAGAAATTTCCTAACTGAAAACAATAAATTTCATCGCAAGAACATTTCCAGAAACAATATATACGTATTGACCCCTGTGAATCACCGGAAATTCTGATGATGTAAACTACTAGAGTATTCTCATAAATATATTTCTGTTGAGGAAAATCCTTATTAGTTTCCAAAGGCCACCGTGTTACCTTTCTGCATGGGCATTGCTAATTAGGCTAAAAATGCTGCAAATATTTGTCTGCAAACTTAACCCCCATGAGGGTCTGCTCAAAAACAAGTCTCATTGAATTCAACTCAACTTATTCCCAGAAGCTTAAATAAAAATGACAGCACAAACATGTTAAGAAGCAAATAAATGACAACTTTGAGAAAGCAGGACAAGTGTATTCCAAAACAGCTTGAGAAGACAAAACATTAGCATGGCAGTGACAGGTGAGGCAGATTTATAATACTAATTTTGTTTTGATTTAATGTTTAATTGATTTACATTATTTCATAACTCAAGTGATTAGAACAGATGAGGACTACTAGGCATTTAAATAAGCTATTAACAAATATTAATAATAATAATTACTCGGTGCCTTGGGTGAAATTTCAAAACATCTGGAGCATCGCTTGAATACCATCAGCTTTAACAACATTACCATCAATCATGAAAGGCAGCTATAACTTGAAATAGCTTACACCCTACGTGGATACCTTTAACATCATCAGACAACATCATCTGCCTATCCCAGGTCCTTGAAAAGGACTTGATAGACGGATAAAAATGCCAAATCCAGTCTAAACATTTGGCTGATTATATAAACCAACCATAATAACACTTTCACAATAGAGCAAAATTGATATGTTGTTTCAGAAAACAGTGTAAAGACATTTTGTTCGAGAATGAAATTTATTTTGTAAATACTAAACTATAATTTAGCAGGATATTGATTTTGAGCATAGTATATGTCCTTAACATAAGTTAGACCCAACTGATTTTAAGTCCACTTATGATGATTATTCAGCCTGATTATTCCAAATTGTTGGGTTCTTTTAAACAGAACAAAGATGAGTAATTTGGTAAAATCTGTTACTTGTGCATCTCTTCTGCAAATCAAAAAGACCAACTCTGCTTCAGAATTTTTACAGTAGTTTGAAAAGGAGGTTTTGGTAAACATGCAGTCTTAAACGAGAAACCATAATTTCAAGATTGAAAACAAGTTAAAACACATTGTAAGTACTGAGGAGATGAAAGCAAAACCTTCCCCTGTACTTCCCCATTCCTAAATCTTGTAATGTTATTCTCCAAATAGAACAAGATGGGTCAGGACCACATTTTGTCTTAAAGTCAACTTTCTGTGACTCTCAAAGCTCCCAACTAAACTTGCAAGTTGGCTCATTTACAGCCATGGTTTCAAATGGAAGATGTGCAAAAATGTATAAGCCCTAAAATAGGATTCAAATAGTTAAAAAAGAGGAAAAAAGAAAGAACCTAAAATAAGCCTGGCCTTGCCTATGTGTGTGGGTGACATGGTCCCATCTGGTTTGCATAACTGCCCTACCTGCCATACTCCTAGTTTGGTAATGAAACGTTTGCAAGAAAAAAACCAAGTTCAGAGAACACCAAGGAACTCTCATTTTCATCCCAGTTGTTATGTATAGCCTGTGGCATCAAAAGGTTGTTCATCCCTGCAATAGAGCATTATTTCTAGTCCCCACCCTATCCCGGAACAATGGAGTCAAAAGGTTGTTATAAGGAATGCAAAATTAATTCAACTTCTTTCAGCCACACCCTACTCTACCCTACTGCATTAGAGCTACAATTTTCTCCCATAGCCAGATGGAGTGCCGGAAGTGATATACTGGAACAAAGGAAGACTATTCTTCTACTTATTTTTCAAATTATTTTTTTTATAAGGTAGGGAGCAGGAGGAGAAGGCCTCTGGGAACTAAACCTTTCCCATAGGGGTCCTTAATAAAATCCAGCCCCAAGGAAATAGCTTAAAACTATAGTGAAAAACTTCAGCAGCACAAAATGGTCAAATTTCTGAAGTATGATTTAGGGCTCCTTCGGGAGAATGTTTAAAGATGGAAGTGGAAGCCATTTGTCTCCCAGAAGCTCCTGGTACCTATTCTCTGTAGTTACATTTTTAAAAAATGCAGATGAAAAATCAGGAGTTACAATGCCAGTTTTGCACAGTATGATCTTATTCCAGCTGGTGGGATCCAGGAGAAGGACTTTCTCTGCCATTGCATCTGCCCTATGGAACATCTTGTCCTCTGAAGGGAGGTCAGTCCCATCCCTCCTGATCTTCCATAAGAGCCTAAAAACCTGGCTCTGCCAGTTAGCTTGGGGCTCCAATGGAGGGTGGCCTCATTTTGGGGTGGTTAATAAATTAACAACAGATCCCATCTTCCTCCCCCATCCTGTTCCTACCCTCCCCATCTTTTAATTGTGCCATAGTGTTTGGATTTTGTACTAACTTATGTTTTTAGTTTATATAGGTTTTTTTATGATTGTACGCCATCCAGACTTACCTTGAGGTAAGATGGGCTACCTATAAATGTCAGAAATAAATAAATAAATAAATAAATAAATTCATCATTAGAGAATTTGAGATCAGGACTAACATATCATAGGCAAAACACAGAAAAGCAAAAGACTCTTTAATATTTTATAATAGTGGTATAGGAGGGGGGGCACTTCAGCTGAACTTCACATGATCAGAGCTAATTCCTTCCCACCGCAGTCATGTCAGCTTGAGCAATGAGGGGGCAGGAAGAACCTCTGCCTGCCAGTGAAATGCAGCAACAAAAGTCCTCAGGTTTGGATGAAAAGACTTGCAAAAAGCCTCTCTCTTTAAAACATAAGCATTTTAAAAATGAACGAGTGGTATTTGGACAATACTTGTTACTGGCTTTCTTATTGGACAGAAATATTAGTGGCCTTGGAAACCCACTACAAATTTATTCATCAAAATAAATCATTGGTGGGAAAAAGCAAAAGAAGAATTGTTTTAGATCCAAATGAACATCCCCTTGTCATCCCTACTGTTTTCTTCCTGATCCTCCTTTCCATTCAAAGGATCTTGAGAAAGTTATGTGGTTCTAAAGAGAAAATTATTATTTTGTCTCAGAGGCCACCTCCAAAAAACAAAACTAGGAATTATAGACATCATCTATCTTGTCCTGTCTTGTTTTTGGTTTAGTTCTCGTTTTTCATGAGATAATATTCATGGCACTACATGATTTGCATTTGACTTTTCCAGCTTTAACATAATTTGACCTGCTAGACATTGTCTTAAAGAAGCAGTTTGTAGCCCCTAAATCAACCCTGGGTACCATTCTTTTCAGATTACTGAGATCTCCTAAGAGAATACCAAGAGCTCATGAAATATATGATTAGATTTCAGTAGTTCTATGAACTTTTCATCATTTTATTATGTATATTATTTTCCTTTTGGAGTACAAAGCATATCCTTAAAGTCAGAGCAGCCATAAAGATAAAGAAGGGTAGTAGTGTGGTTCAGTTACACAGTTATAATTACACTAGAGAAATCCTAGATCAAATTTAGCCCAAGTAATTCCCCACATGACTAGCTGTGCCCATGGAACAGTTACTCTCTCTCAACAAGATGTGTTTCACATTTTGTTAAATAGGGAGAAGCAAAGAGAATTATAAAATATCCATATAGTGTTGTTGGCCACAATAAGGAAACGACTTGCTGTTGTTTTCCCAAGTTCATCTCTATAAAATGAAATATGACTCCTCTCGGTAGCACTCTGAGTCAACTATTCATAGGCTGCAATAAGGAGTCATAGAAGAAGGGAGGCAGGGGATTATAAACCTATCAAGACAAAAAAATCATCTGGAGAAACCTTTTTGAAAATGACCTGTCATTTTAGGGACATTTAGAACAGGACCTTTGTTCGCCTCTATTGCTGCCATTCTACAGAATATATTTCTTCAGAAATGGAAACTGGCCCCAGCACTCTCTGCCTTTGCCCAGCTAAGACTAAGCAATGATGACTAAACAGAGTGGGACTAGTTAAACTTAGATGGAGCTTACCAGTAAATTCCAGGGCTGTGAAATAGACTGGAAAATAAAAAAAAAACGACAGAAAATTGTTTCCTTATTGTGGCCAACAACACTATATGGATTATACCTATATGGATATAATGATACCAGGAATTAAGGCCAAGTTGGAGATTTTACCATTATTTTTACTCCCTATCTAGCTAAGATAAACCTCTTTCTGGGGTTTTTTTTTATTTTTGCATTTCTATTACATTGTTTTTAGCTTGTATATGTTTGTGTATTGTCTTAAAATTTAAGCTGGCCTCAGTGTTTTCATGTCAGTCTTACAAAGCACATTAAGCAGAGGAAACTACTTCAAACAAAAATAAAAGTAAGGATATACATACAGCTTTCAAGATTGTCACTGCATCTTCCTGGAGCCATGATGGGTAGGCAATTTCATCATTGAGGATAGCTTCAAAGAGGTCATCCTCATTTTCAGCTTCAAATGGAGCATGACCACAGAGCATCTCATAGAGGAGCACCCCCATTGCCCACCAGTCAACATCAGGACCATAAAGCATCTCCTGCAAAATCTGCAATTAAAGAAAGAGGTAGAAATCATTAATGCTCCCAACCCTTCTGAGTCTTTACTATTCTTCACCTGATAACTGCTTTGTTACCTTATGACTTTTATGTGTCAAATACAATAGATAAACATTTCATATTGACTCAGGGATAATTTTATCTCAAGTTAACAAAATATTTTATTTACAGTTGCTTAGCCTTCATTTGATAAATGCAGCATCAAGCAATGACATATAGTACAAAGGAGTCATCACAACTCTAATTTTCTCAGGTAGAACTTTTATATCATTTAATTTTCAGGGAAGTCAATTCATGTGACATCAGATATAAGGAAATCAAGAAGTATATGAATGTGTGGGCCAAATGAGAGAGTCACATTATAAGGATCAGAAAACCGATTCCAAAATCTGAAATCATACTAACCCAGTGTATGATCTGAGATATCCAGACATAAAATGGTACTGTATATGTTTAATGTGCTAATATACATATATGCAGTGCTTTTTTTCTAAAAAAAAAAAAAAAAAGGTACCAGAACTCACACACATCATACAACCCACCTTGCCTACCCTACAAGGTTCCATCCCAAAAAGGTGCCGGAACTCCGTTCTGGGCGTTCTATGAGAAAAAAAGCCCTGCATATATGTTATATCTAGTGGGCAATCAAGTATTCTGCACTGGATTATTACTGTGTTTGTTCCCATACCCAAAGAGATTTACTTCTGCTTATAAATGTGTAAAACATTTCCTTTATGATACGTCATCATAAGCCGGCCATGTATGGGCTATGTATTCAGAAGAACATGAATACTCCCATGAATACATCATCTCTACTACTTATATATAAGACATATAAGCATGGACATATAAGTCGATGAAAACATATATCCAAATGCTTTACACAGCAATTTTAAGCACCAAGTTGATGATAAGTGTACAGATTATGTAGCTATTTGCTTATGTTGAATAGCCAAGTAGATTTTACAACAAAATTTGTTTGTTCAAACTCCATTAATATGATGGAAATTTGGGTTTTAAAATCCATTAAAACAAAAAGGGAACCATTCTTGTACCTCTGGAGCAATATAGTCAGGGGTTCCACAAAATGTCGCGGTGGTGATCCCATCATGGATTCCTTCTTTGCACATTCCAAAATCTGCCAGCTTGCAGTGGCCCTCATGATCCAGTAGCACATTATCCAGTTTCAGATCTCTGTAAGAGTTATTGATATTATGTCAGTTTGTCAGTGGTAAACTGAGGCAGAAACAAACTAAAATGAATCAACAAATCCAAGATCAACATGATCACAGCTGCTTAGTTCATGGAAAACTTTCAAACATGATGTTACTGTATAAATATGTTCCTATGTGCTGAAGTTACATGAACGTAATGGAAGTTCAACAGAAAATGGAAATTACTGCCAATATAGAAAAACCAACAATCTCGGCATTCTAAGTAAAAGTACAGTAGATAAATATACCAAACTTGAATACATTACAGCATAGAGTCATATAGTTAGAGGGCCATGATCAGAAATTGCAGAATCCCTACTCCACAATCCTAGCATTCACTAGAATAGGAAGCTTACAAGCTTGATAGAACACCGATAGATGATTCTGGCTGATTTCTCTCTCCCCTACATTATTTAAACAAAGCTTTCTTCTGAGCTTCATAATCACTACAATATTAGAAAATTAAAAGTAAATAAAGATAACATAATGACAGCAATAGGACATCCTTGCTGATTTCTCTAAATCCTGCAGTAATACATTGCAAAGAAAACTTTATCTTAAACATTTAAAGCAAGAATTTTCAAAAAGGAAATGTATCATGGTAAACAGAAAAATATAAGTAATACTGCGTTGGAATCAAAAGATAAACAGGAAAGTTCAAAATAAAAAGTGATGTTAAGATAAGATATTGTAAGATAGAAACAAGAACATTACAGAAAGGATGTCAGAATAATAAAGGAAAAAAGTTAATATTAAAGTAATAAGAAAAAGAAATGAATACTTTTGGAGAGAAATAATGAAGAACCAGTTGACCTCAAGGGAAACATAAGATAGTGATGTATAAATTTGTCAGAAGACCTATAGACATGATAAAATGACCTTTCATGGTGCCCCTTTTCAGCATAAATTTGAAGTTCTAAATAATTTTTCTAGAGTTATATACCAGAGGTATATTATTTTATAAAAATTCTTCTTTAGTAACATTGTAATATTGTAACATAATGTAAATCTCAATCCTTTTAACCAGATATTTTCCCATTGTTCCATTATTATATTATGTCCAAAGTTTTATTGGACAAAGTTGTGCCCATTTTATCGTATAGTCTTTCATTTGTTCTTCTTCCATTTATAGTTAAAGTTTATACATTTTACAGTTACATGTTCATTATTTCTCCATAGTTCAACTTCAAATTCTGTTTTCTGCTGTTTAATTTCAAGTGTCTCATTATCTATTTTAAATCTTTCTCTTAAAATTAAATTAAATTAAAATTAAATCTCTCTACAATTTGTCTTGATTTCATCGTTTTTTCCCCATTTTCCTGTCTAAAGGCATTTGCAGGCACAATCTGGGCTTATACCTGTTCCATATTCTCAATAAGGCACTTCTATTATAATGTACTTAAAATCTACATTGAGCTTAACTTTATCATACTGTAGAAAACCATGTCATCTAAACCTCAGATCATACAGTATTCTTCAAATTTTAAAATTCTTTTATTTCTCAGCAAACCCAACATTCATACACATTAAGCAGCAGGCTATCAATCTAATTTCAAACTAGGTAAATCCCAATATTTTCCCTTCTTTGCATCTTGAAGTATTTTATAGTCAACTCTTTGTTTTACCCCTTGCTATACAAACTGAGATATATCTTTCTGCCATTGTTTAAATCAGGGGTCTTCAGCCCCGGTCCACAGCCTGGTATCGAAGCTGCATTTGAACAAGTGGTGTGCACATGCATGAAACCATCCATCTCTCCCCACCCCACCGCTGCTGGTCCAAGGAGCTAGAAAGGTTGGGGACTGCTGGTTTAATATTACATCAGTTATCAGAATAGTTGTTTGAAACAAAAAAATCACCTTGGCAAAACATTTTTACCACATAAATTCTCTCTAGCATTGATAATTGTAATTTCTCCCATATTAACATGTCCTTTTTAATTTCATTCCATGTCTTAACATAATTATTCTGTTATAGTACACAATGCATGTTAGTCATTATAATACCAAAGTATTTAAGATTTTCTCAATATTAAGACCATTTTTTCCATTTGCTTTTCAATGGTCATATTCTTTGTGAACATCCTTCTTTTGTTTCTTAATTTTAAATCCAGCTAATATCCCAAAGTCTTGATAGTTTTTCCATTAGTATTTCTACTGAATAGAGTAGAGTAGAGTAGAGTAGAGTAGAGTAGAGTAGAGTAGAGTAGAGTAGAGTAGAGTAGAGTAGAGTAGAGTAGAGTAGAGTAGAGCTGGAAGGGACCTTGGAGGTCAAGCAGGAGAACCTATGCCATTTCAGACAAATGCCTGTCTGAAGGCATATATTTCCATTTGCTCAGCAGTTCCATGATGGATGAAACAATTAAAGAGATCAAGTCTAAGAGCTCTTAGATCTAAGGACTGTTAACCAAAAGGACACAAGAAATGCTTTGTTGGATTAGACTAGGCTCACCTTGTCCAATAAACAGTCATGGTTCAGATGCTTCCTAATCCACTGTCTCTGTCTGATTAAGCCCAACTGAGAACCATTTTAGTATAGTGGTTACAGCACCAGGCTAGAAACTGGGAGAGAGTGAGTTCTAGTTCTACCTTAAAGTCAGTTGAGCAACCTTGGGCCAGTCACCACCACAACCACCTCCTCCTCCTCCTCCTCCTCCTCCTCCTCCTCCTCCTCCTCCTCCTCTTCTTCTTCTTCTTCTTCTTCTTCTTCTTCTTCTTCTTCTTCTTCCTCCTCCTCCTTCTTCCTCCTCCTCCTTCTTCTCTCTCTCTCTCTC